AATTCCCTGTGGTGGCATTTTTTTTTGCCGCCGCTGCACCCACTAACAAATATTGTACACTTGACCTTGATCAAGAGCAGCTGTCCTTTGATTTACTTCCATGCATATCATCTTTATTCAATACATCTCACAGTGAACTTGGGCATGAACTTGAACAGGGACTTGGAGGACTTGGCCAAGTACCTGGTACTTGGCCAAGTCGACCCACCCGACTTGCCCAAGTCCATTGGACTTGGGGTACTTGAGGTACTTGGGATACTTGAGGTACTTGGCCAAGTACCCCAAGTACCTGTACAAGTCCGTGACGTTTTCCTGATGTAGGTCGGGCAAGAGCGAGAAATCGTCTGGGAAAGCCAAAAGATCCTCGCGCACCCAAAACGAGCCCAGGCTCTCGAGCCGGGAACGTGCTGAGCTCCGGGAGCAAGGCAAGTGCTTCCTGTGTAAGGAAACGGGTCACTATGCGAATGCGTGCCCCAAAGCCAACCTGGTCAAGTCAGACAAGAAGGGAAAACCTCCTGGACTCACCTCGTACAGCGTGGAAATCGGAGGCCACTCTCTGGCTGAACAACTCAGGGAGCTGGCCGCCACCACTGAGACGTCAGCCGGCATTGATTTGCACTATGTCGAGACCGCCTGGGACGACATGCCTGACTTGCAATCAGTCATTGACTCCTCAGAATCTGAAAATTCGGACTGGTCCGACACAGAGGGTTCTGTACTCACCGAGTGGGAAGACGAGGCTGACGGCCACGTTCCTGTCGGTTACTTCGATGATGAGGCGAATGGGGAAGTTCCTGTTTTGAGTCCGGTCCGGAGAATCGATCCCGGTTTCGGACTTGAGCTACCGCTCATTCGACACGGAGAGCGTCGCGTAGGCGACCTATACGCGGCTCATGCTGAGTACCTGTTGCAACTCAACGGGCCCTATTGTTGTCACGATGTGGATATCGACAAGGGAGGTAAACCCTCACCTCATGTGTATCGTACCTCGCAAGATTTGTACGTGATTTTTCACTGGAATATGGACGATGTGTTAGTAGAAACGTCCCAATTACGGGACCCCGATTTCGACGTAGTACATTATTACCGGCAGCGGGTAGTCGAACAGAAGTCTCCGGACCATCAGGCCTGTTTTCTCGCTCGAGGAGAACCCGAGTACTGCCTAATGGGGGATGCGCTCGCTCTAGAGGTCAAGCACATTCTTGAGGAGTACCACCCGTGGCCCGAGGACCCGAGGGACGCGTTCTATCCGCCCCGGTTCGTGGTTGTTCAGTATTATGACGACGTGACGGTACGAGACCTGTACCTCGAACGTACCTTATCCATACCGGTCAAGTTCCTCTTGAACCCTAGGTTTGACCTGCTAGGTTACTTTGCCCGGAACGTCCGACGGTTCTTCACGGCGCCTGCCTTTGAGCTTGATGACCTGGAGGGCGAATTTCGAGTCCTGTTTACGCGTACGCAACGCCCTCGTATCAGTCCTCCAATCCCACTGTTTGCAGTACAACCAAAGACTCACCGCGCTGAATCTGACAGCAGCTTGAGCGCGCTACAGCGCAATGCAGCCGCGCCTCGGGATTTCTCTCGACTTATCCCGGAACCGGTCGTCGTAGTTGTCCAGGTTAATGAGCAGCCCGCTCGGGCCTTAATCGACTCAGGATCCCTGTCGGATTTCATGTCTGCAAGGTTAGCGCATCAGTTAGGCCTGGAAATTTTCGAACTCACCAAGCCCCTGCCTATACAGCTGGCCGTCCAGGGATCTCGCGCCAAGGTCAACTTCGGGTGCCGGGCCCGACTCGAGTACCAGCGTATTCGAACCGAGAGGTACTTCGATGTGATAAACCTGCTAAATTACGATCTAATACTCGGAACTCCGTTCATTTTCCAGCACAAAGTTACGCTGGGGCTCAATCCTACCACACTAGTAGTTGGCAGCCCACAGGCTTTGCCGATCGAGGGCCGCCAGGTGCGGACGCTACAGTCACACGCGGCGGACGTGCTGGACGACGTGATCGAGGCGGCCCGAAAAGATTTGTGTGAGTATGCGGCTCCCATATGCAAGGAAGCTAGTGACTCACCGCTACCTCCTTTGCGGACCATCAATCATCGTATCCCCCTCATAGACCCAGATAAAGTCTATACGTGGCGTCCATCTAAGTGCCCGGACGCTCACAGGGAGAATTGGAGGGAGAAGCGCGATGCTTACCTCAAATCAGGCCGCTGGAAGTACACTAGTGCCCGCAATACATCTCCAATGCTACTCCTTACCAAGCCTGGTACGGGAGTGAAGGGAATCCCTCCGAAACTGCGAGTGGTGTGTGACCTACGAGAACGCAACGCCAACACTAAGAAATTGACGTCGCCTCTTCCTGACATGGAAGGTATCTTACGGCGGGTGGCTAGGCATCCGTACCGGAGCCTGATTGACGGCAAGGACGCGTACGAGCAGATTCGGGTGGAACCTGAACACGTAGAACGTACGGCAATGACTACACCTGATGGCAACATGGTTAGCCTCGTACTACAGCAAGGTGATTGCAACGCCGTTGCAACGTACCAGAGTTTGATGAATTACATATTCGGGCCGTACATCGGCGTGTTTCTTGACGTCTACCTAGATGACATAGTAATCTACTCGAATACCCTGTCCGATCACGTTAAGCACGTCAAAACTGTCGTTGACATTCTGAGACGAGAGCAACTTTACCTGAGTGCTACCAAACTCAAGTTTCTCTGTAAAGAGATGAAGATTCTCGGACGCATTGTGGATGACGAGGGCATCAGGATGGACCCGGACAAGGTAGACTGCGTACTCAACTGGAAAGTGCCGACATCGAAGGAACTACTTCGCGGCTTCCTTGGGTCGGTAGGATATCTGGCAGATGACATTGCTACAGTGCGAATTCCTATGGGGATATTGGCTTCAATGACGGGGGCAAACACCTCATTCAAATGGGACTTTACTCACCAGCGCGCGTTTGACGAAATCAAGCGGCTTGTGCACGCTCACCGCGAACACCGCCGTGTACCGTTGGACTACTCCAAGGGCGCGGCTCTTGTTGAACTTGGACTTATCCGGTCCGGACTACACGAGGCTATGCGTCTCCTAGCGCTTAGCTGTAGTCGCTTATGTAGTATGTTACCATATTTGGGACTCTCTGCTCGTGTACTATAGCTATGCTTCCGGACTCTTCTGGTACTGTCTAGGACAATCCGTACTACTCCAGAACGGTCTAGACAGGTCTATGCCTTACTCATCTCTTACTCATCCTA